CTCCAGGAATCCGAGCCATTCTTTTTGGCCAGAGGAACAAGACAAGAGACCTTCACGAAGGGGCCTAGGCCCAACTCTAAACATCTCTGGTTTGGACTCCATGACATTTGAGGCAAATAACCTGCAGGTTTGGGCTAAATGTGTCCAACAAATCACCTATATTCCTATGAGAAAGTCAAATGTGGCATATGTTTTCCAATGAGAAGGGTATTAATTAAAAAAATAATAATCTATAGCCATCTGCATCTTCTTCAATGTGAAAAAGCCCAGTTTCACTTTGTCATTTCCTTACCGAGTAGCAATGAGCCCACATGCTTTCCTGGCACTCAGCTACTTCAGCTTTGGAACGGCCCCTACCTCCCATCTTCTTTGCCCTCCTAAATGGTGACTGTTTAGTCCTGTACAGTATTCATGTTAATAACAAAAAAAAATGCTAATGCTAATGATGACAATAACAGTGCAGTAATAATAGCAGCTCTAGTTACTAGGAATCAGGCACCAATCTAAGGGCTTTCCATACTATATCATTGGTCACAAAGCCTTTGCCGAGTAGGTATTTAATCTTCATTTTAAAACCAGGAAACCAGTCCCAGCTGGTGTGGCCCAGTGGACTGAGCACTGGCCTGTGAACCAAAGGGCTGCTGGTTCGATTCCCAGTCAGGGCACACGCCTGCTTGTGGGCCAGGTCCCCAGTGGGGGGTTTGTGAGAGGATGCCGATTCATGGTTTCTCTCCCTCTCTTGAATACAAATAAAATACTTTAAAAAACAAACAGGAAACCACTGCTCAGAGACATGAAGAAAATGTGCCCAAGGTCACATCTGGTCCCAGTAGGGAAGCCGAGGTTATATGCCGGTTTGACTGACGTGGGTGTCTTCCGTGACCAGTGTTCTCAGGGTCCCTGTGCCAGTCGAGAGCACAGACTTCTCTGGCCCAGATCTGGCTTTGAATTCCAGTCTTGCCCATTTCTTCTTGGGCAACTGAAGAGTAATTATTCAATCTGTGTAATTCTCTTCGTCTAAAAAAGGATAATAATTCCCTTCCTCGTGGTTATTGTAAGGAGTAAATAAAAAAAATGCGGTGTTGAGCACAGAGTCAATGTTCAGTGAACAACAGCTATTATAATTGTTACATTTGTATTGGCTTCATTATAGCAATACTTTTTATCCCGTGCAAAATGCCTCTTCCTTTCTCTTGCAGACTGCGTCTCCACTGCACACCAGCCTCAAGTTCTAGAACCCATTGTGCCCTGATTTGTATACAATCACAGGGGAGTCTCACAGAAATAACAGGAAAACAAAACTAATTTGAGAAACAGCAGCCCCCCGAAAATACGCAGAGGATACTACAAATGTGGCATCCTTCCTGGATGTCTTATTTTCTCTGCCTTCGGTTTTTCTAAGGGGTCATTTCTCTCCTGATGACAATATCAGCTGCCTCCCTGAGACAGGCAATGGATTAATATCTCCGCCAGATTAAAGGAACGCTTCCCCCATCTGGGCGACCACTGCTTCTCCTTCTCACGTGCTTTATCTCCTTCACCCAAACTGGCCGGGTCCGTAATTTATAACCCAACTGACTTGGCAGGGGTGGTTGCTCTGGGGCCCTGGGACTGTCTCTGCAGGTGGGCCCCGGGGAAGGAGGTCTCGGAACCATCTATCCTGGCTGCCACGAGGCGACAGCTGTCAGCGGTGCTTCTTTTCATCTCTGCCTCTCCCCCCTGAAGCTCTGTCTATCATTTCCAACAGAACACTCCACGCTTCTTTCCTGGCACGGCGGCCTTGTGTTGATGTCTTTGGGGATCATCTCGAATGTATTTAGGTCCTACCCTAAATTTACCCTATTGGTCCCCCTAAAACATAATCTGGTCAAGAGATGGGCAGCTAGGTTTTCATTCCATTGAGGGGGGAACCCTAACAGCTCAGTTATGTGTGATGCGGGGGGTACGGGTTTCAGACCTCGGTCTGGCAACCAGGAGAAGGTGCAGGACCTCGGCCCGTTTTCCTGCCCAGCTTGGCCCTCCCGCTGCATCGCCTACATTGTAGACAAAGCGGTTCGCTGCTCAGGGGCAACCTAAGGAAGAAAAGACTGGGTGTTTGTTCTGTTGTTAAAACAAAAGGTCAGCCCTGGGTGGTATAGCGCAGTGGATTGAGCGCAGCCTGCGAACTAAGGGGTCTCTCTCCATTCCCCTCTCTCAAATCTTTAAGGGGAAATCAAAAAAGATCACTTCCCTTGCCATTAATTTCTGTTTTCACAAATCTGGGCTACGGTTCAAGAAGACTCAATATGCAGAAGTCATTGAGGAAATTACTGATATTGTACACAGCCACCAAAGCAGAAGAGAAAGTAAGAAATTAGGGTTCTTGGGCGGGGTGGAGGGTGGGGTGGGGGTGGAGGGTGGGGTGGGGGTGGAGGAGGGTGGGGGTGGGGTGACAGAGAACGCAGTGGAGGCTGAGGCCCAGTGGCTGTTAGAAGAAACCAAGCGGGACTGGGGAAGCTGATCCTCGAAGGCTGCCCTCGCCTCTTCAACCTCTACCCTGGGACAGTGCACCAGACAACACCACCTCCATCACCACCTCCATCACCACCTCCAGGTTTGCCTGCTCTTGATGTTTCTTTCTAGCAAAAAGCACCATGGACCACTCTGGGGTCAGGAACACTGCATACAGGGCAGTGGCCCATAGGCTATAGCGATGGCTTCTCACACAGGCCCTACCTGTTCACTCTCCCAGTTTCAGGTGGGATTTGGAGGTAGCTCTCAAATGCAATACAATGTGAGACGCACTGAGAGAGAATGTCTCAAGAACCACAGATCTAGGCGAACTTCTATTTTGCAGACAAGAAAGACCACCAAAGATGTCTACCCCCGAATCCCCAGAACCTATGAACAGGTTCAGCCCCATGGCAAAGGGGAATTAAGGTTGCAGATGGAATGAAGGTTGTTAGCTAACTGACCTGCACACAGGAGAGCATCTGGGATTATCCAGGTGGGCACAGCGGAACCACAAGCATCCTTCAGTGTAGAAGAATGAGGCAAAAGACAAGAGACCGAGAAGTGACTCCAAATGGCTATGGAGTCAGCCAGAGCGATGCACGTGACGATGCAACTTCCTGAAGCAGGATTTAAAGGGAAAGGAGGGGGCTGTGAGCCAAGGAACACAGGCAGCTTCTAGAAACGGCAAAAGGCAACACATTCTCCCCTGGAGCCTCCAGAAGCGCCGCAGCCCTACTAACAACACCTAGACTGCAGCCCAGTGGGACTGTGTCAGACTGCTGACCTATCGAACTGTGAAACAACACATTTGTGTTGTTCAAGCCACTGTTGTGATCAGTTACATAGCAGCAACAGAAACGAATGCAACGGGCGGCGGGGGCGGGGGGGGGGGTTTGTGATAAATGCCTGTACTCAACAACATTGATAGATGCGATGTGAAAAAGGCACTTGTGCACTGTGGTTTCTGAAAGGTGTCAAGTTTAAGGGGCTTCCAAGAACACAAGGAAAATTTCCACCTGTTAGGATTAGGTTCATATGTCTAGGCTTAATTTATATCAATTCTCCTTAAGACAGTCGTGCTGAATGTTTGGGTATTTCCTTGATTGCCTCTGAAGGTCCATTCTCTGCTCTGTGCCCTGGAAGGCAGACCCTGAGGGAAGAGACTCCCTCCCCCTCTGGATTCCCCCACGGGGAGGCCCCAGCAGGAACCTGCAGGACAGTCAGGGGGCAAGCTTGCACCTGAACCACCCCAAGAGTGAGTCCCCCCTTAAACCTTGTACTCTAGGGGTCCTCATTCGCCTCACTCAGCAGGAAGAAATAAAAAAATCCCCTGTCAGGTCCCGGAAAGGCTGGTCGACAGCCTGATAACGATTATGAGCTCAACCAAAAAGTACCCCCCCATTTCTCCCCCCACCCACAAACATGTGTTGGATGACGTCAGAGGCCACGGTTGGTGGAGCAAAAATGAGAAATCAAAAAATTCGTAGAACCCAACAGTACCAAGCAGAAGCAATCTGATTTGAAAACCATCCTGGATTAAGCAATTTACCCAGTCATTATATATGTAGCACAGCTATATGCAAATGACATGCAAATATAAATACCACCCTCCATAGGGGCAGCCTTTTCATTGTTTTCTCAGACTCCTAAAGCAAATCCAATTTGGAAAATAAAAATAGAAAATTACCCTGTGGTGGGCTAACGTTGATTTATGCATCTCAGCTCTTCTGCCAATGCCTCCGCCAGTACCCATAAGCCTAAAAGGATGTATTCATGCTGAAGAACTATGTGACATTGAAGTAAGCCTATGAGGATTGGTGAAGTACAAGGGTGTACCTGCCTGGGTCTATTATGGACTTCAGAGGGTAAGTGGTCCCCTCCTCCAGGAAGCCATCCTAGATGACCACTTTTTCCCACCCTCTCATCTGGAGTAGACGGGTGCAGTTCCCTCTCCTCTGTGCTCCACAGAGTGCTGCTCAATTAGTGGGTACTAGATGTATGAAGGAGTGAGTGTGGGAATATGGCCCAGCAAACACACATTGATGTTTCTCTCTCTCTCTCTCTCTCTCTCCCCCTCTCCCTCCCTTCCCTTTCTAAAAAAAAAAATAAAATAAAATAAAAAAAAGACCACAATGAACTAAGATGTGCTTGGATATGCATTACCTGTGAACCTCAGGAATCCCCCCACTCCTTATCCTCCTTGGCTTCCCACGACCCCAGGGTTTTTTTTGTTTGTTTTGTTTTGTTTTGTTTTTATAAAGAAAACAACAAAAAGGAAGAAGACCGCGGTGACAGGAAGATGGTGGTGGGGTAAATATTCCAAATAAGGCCGCAAGGAATTTCAAAGCTGAGCACCAAGCAGAGTCACTGCCCCCTGTTTTTAGAAAAAGGTAACTAAATACATAAATATACCCTTAGTTTCTTTATAGGCTGGCGTTTCTACCCCGGAACTGCAGAGCGCGCCCTTGAGCGCCACTGTTCTGGCAGGGGCACTGCCGCAGGCTTACCTTGGCTGGAAAGAACCAGAAGAAGAGGTTGCTGTTGTAAGTCTTATTCACAGTGAGGAAGCCGCAGTAGCTCACCAAGTCCAGTCCTTGGAGAGGAGGCACGGCGCTCAGTCGTCTCCCTGGTGGGGGAAATTTTACCCAAGGATTAGAGAAATAATGCAGGGTTAGCCGTCTCCATCTCGACCGAAACCCTGCCCTCCCCCCACCCTGGGACCAGGGCTGGGATGGAGTCATGATCAAGGCTACGAGCGGGTGGGCAGAAGGGTCCCAATGGCAGCGCATTCCAGTGTGTTCAGGACAAGTGCACGTACTCAACCTGAACAACTTAGCCAAGGACGGTGACATCTTTCAGCTTTTCCTGGGGGTCCCCGATTATAATTTATGAGCGATGATAAGATTTTTATTAAGAGAGGAGAAAGATCACCTAATCTCAGCCCCACTCTAGAAAGGTAAGTAAACCAAGGTGTTCCGGTTGGGCCACCTGGAAGGCCAGGGCAAAATAAAGTCACCTGACCCCAAAGGAGGGGCTGCAAGGATGACAAGATAGCTGAGTAGCCCTCCGCCGGGGGGGGGGGGGGCCGTGCTCCCCACATCCCCTTTATCATGAAAGCCAAGGGCCTGCCACCTCCATCAAGGGAGATGGACTGAGGCCATGGGGAGTGGGGGCAGCTGAGGACGGCCAGGGAGGATAGGGAGAGGCAGAGGTGAGACTGGGGTTGACCTTGTGTCTACTCAGAGAGAGCCAAACAGGACAATGGGACAGTTATAGAGGGCAGAGGTCCTGGCTGTCTTATGGCAGCAAAGGGAAGGGAACAGGGAGGCGGGGAAGGAAACACTCACACCGCTAAGGCCACTCCGGAGGAAATCACACTGATAGGAGAGAGCACTTAAAAGGCCTCTGTACATTAGGCGGTAAGTATAATTATTGTCCCCGTCTCACAGGTGAGAAAACGGAAGCACAGGCAGGTGAGGTGACTTGCCCAAGGCCACACAGCTAGGAGAGAAGGGGAGCTGAGGCCTGGACCTGCGAGGCAGACTGTGCTCCCTCCCCAACCTCCACACTGCTGCGCACTGGGGAGTGAGTCATAAGGTGGAAGCGATTATGATAGGGAAGCAGTGATTCGGGAGTGGAGAAGGAACAGAAATTCTGGGCACGGTGGGGAAGTGGACAGGGAAGTCTGAGTAAAGGAGAGCCCTTTCGTGATAACAAGGCCAGCGTCCCCCCAGAATCAAATTATTCCCGAGGGGCCGTGTCAGTCTGAGACACGCTGCGGTGGAGACTGGCGGGTAGACGGGAGTGGGTAAGGAAGCTCGACCCTGCGCACAGGCCACGGACGGAAGCTACTTTCAGTGGGTGCTGGAGTCCCCAGGCTCTGCGGTGCAGCGGCTCCCCTGTCCTCCCAACTGTGCATTCGGTGACATCAGACAGGGTGCAGCGAGCCATGGGCGGTGAGAGTGGCTGCACTCAGGGAATGCGTGCTACAAAGGGGGACCTACCCCCACCGGGCCGCTTGCTAAACTTCCACCAGCAAGCACACTGTGGCCCCGGGCCACAGCTTCCTCTTGGCAATCGGACCTGCCTCCCCAAAGGGGAACTGTCCTCTGTACCACACTGCTCCTTTTCCCTGGGACTCCCATGATGCTAGCGCTACTACTGACCACCTTTGCGTAGGCAGAGATTTGGCCTCTCTGGGCTCCGGTTTCTCACCTAGGAAAGGTGGATGACGTTAAGTCCATGCACAAAAAACCTGTAGAAAACAAGCCAGTTTGCAGGGAGCACTGCTGTTGCTATCTTTGAAATGCATCCACTGAGTGGAAGCGGGGGTGTCTGGAGGCAGGGACGATGGCGGGGACGCGGGGAAGGTGTCAAGGGGCAGCTTCCAGAGGGCCCTGCTAGGGAAGCTTGGTGAGACAAGTGTGGTTCTGAGGCGGACAGGCCCGGGTGTGCAGTCCTGATTAGGCTTCCCAGCGAGTCGCGCCACCTCTCCGAGCCTCTTTCCCTTCATGCCCAACGCGGATGCCGACCTCCCCCATCCTGGGCTCTCTGTGAGGATGCAATGAAAACACGCCGACGAACCCTTCCCATGGAGCTGGCCAGAAGACAAGGGCTCGAGTAAAGGGAGGGGAGATCGTCTGCCCCGGCCACCCGGAGGGCAGTCCAGAAGACTTTCCCTTTTTCTGTCTCAGTCTAGTTCCCCCAGGGGAAGGTTGCTTAACCCGACCTCATCAGCTCTGCCCCTTCTCTTCCAAAGAGATCTACTCCCCTCCAGAAAAAAGAAAAAAAGGAAGGAGAGAGAAGGATTTGGAGAAAAAGCAAAGAGCGATAGATGTTTAGCAGGCACCGCTCCCCCACCCCACACCCTTCCCTCCAGCAGCCATTTCTTCCCTCTCCTCTTCCGTGCTTCTACCTCGACTGGACCAGAGAATTAACATCCTCCGGGTTCGGGCAGCCTTTAAAACACTCGTTTGGGGGCCATTTTAAAAACTGAGATATAATCAACCTATAACATGATGTCAGATGTACAACCTAATGATCAGACGTGTGTATGCACGGCACAGCTGGCATCGCAATACGCACAGTTAACATCTGTCACCACACAGCTACACATTTTGTCCTTGTGATCGGAACCTTTAAGATTTACCCTCTTAGCAACGATCAAATATGCAATGCCGTATTGTTCATTATACTCGCCATGCAGTCCCTTCCACCCCCAAGATGTACGTCTTTGATCGCTGGAAGTTGGTACCTAGAATACACTTCAGAAACGTTTTTCACAAAAATGGTTAATCTTCTCCAAGTCAGAGAACTCCCCGCAAGCCCTCCGAAAAAGGCGGGCAGAGAACTGGAGACGAGGGCCTGGGGAGGAGTGAGACGTGAAGCACGGAGGGGTGAGCCGGCGGCGGGGGAGGACTCGTGAAAGAACACAGTGAGAAAAGGGCAGGGTCCACGGAGAGCGAGGAGAGAGAAAACCTGTAAGAGGCAGGAGCTGGAGGGAATGGAATCTGGGGGTGGGTGATTGGATCGATCTATCTCCCGGAGACCAGCACAGCACAAGGCCCGCGGGCCTCCCCCGAGAATGACCCAGGCGCCCCCTCCCCTCTGAGCCCCCCCCTTTCTGAGGATCCCAAGTTGTTTCTTTGCTCCCCATACTTACTGTGGTCCATTTCCTACCTTGTTTTCTAGAGCAGGGGCTACTGGAAAACAAGGAATCTGTCTAATTTATTTTTGCACCCCTGGAGACATATCATGCTGACTTACACACTTAAGACAGTCAGTACATACCAAACCAGACAATAACATACACAATGAATGGATGAATGTTAATGAATGGATGAATGTTAATGAATGAATGGATGAATGGATGAACTAAGAGAGGCCACACTAACAATGCACTAGATTGAGCGTGGGCTGGGAACCAAAGTGTCCCAGGTTCGATTCCCAGCCAGGGTACATTCCTGGGTTGCAGGCCATAACCCCCCGCAACCGTGCATTTATGTTTCTCTCTCTCTCTCTCTCTCTCTCTCTCTCCCTCCCTCCCTCCCTAAAAAGGTAAATAAATAAAATCTTTAAAAAAAAAACCCCAAAAAATGCACTAGAATCAGTTTATTTCTACAAACACCTTTCAAGGCAGGCAGGCCTTATTAAACTCTTAAGAAGTTTAGAGAAAACTTTTCTCTGGCCCACAAGAACATGGTTCCCCCTGTTTCAAATATTAAATGTCCGTTAACTAAACCACAGTAAAGTAATTTAAAATTCTTTCAACTCAGATGACTTTTTAAATATTTTCAGATCATCAGTTCATCCTTCCAGAGTCTGTCAACTGAATGTGGACAATAAACCCCCAAGATGTAGGAGTCTTTTCTTCCTGGAACCAAAACTCACAGTACAAATGTTCAAAACCATTAAAGAGAGGAAAATGGCTTCTTAGTGGCAATGTCACTTCCTCCTTGTCATTTACTACGGTTCACAGGGTGAGTGATGTTACTAAGATCAAAAAGATCTTAGCGTGACCAAGGAGGGCACGACCCTCACATTCACCAAGACTCTGGCCACCGCCAGTACAAAGGAGACACCACCAGACCCTAAGTAGTAGTAAATTAAGAAGTAATAATAGCAAGTATCGCAGGTTCGATTCCCAGCCAGGGCACATTCCTGGGTTGCAGGCCATAACCCCGAGCAACCGCACATTGATGTTTCTCTCTCTCTATATCTCCCTCCCTTCCCTCTCTAAAAATAAATAAATAAAATCTTAAAAAAAAAGAAGTAATAATAGCAAAATATTCTTTAAAATTTGTGAAAATGCAGTGTTTGTAAACATGCTAAAATTTGCCTCCTAGATTCATTTTGTTTTAGACAGTAAGGACATGTTCTTTGCTGCAGAGAAAGTAAACATGCTCTTATAATTACATAACGCTAAGCCGGCTAATTGGAGATTTTAAAAATAAAAATTTTCCTTGTCTTTGTGAATGACTGTTCGCTTCAAAAATGTTCCGTTGCAGTATTAGACTCACGTTCTTAAGGCTTTGACAGACTCAACCAACAGAAGAGATTTAGGGGAGCGAGGTGACCAGCTGTCCCGAATTTCCTGAGCTTTCAGTCAAGTAGATGAATAAAATTATCCTTAATGATGTTATCAGGGCTGCGTGTGAATACCCAGACGTACCAGATTGTAGATCAACCACTTAAAATTCCAACAGGAGACTTTGACGGTGTAACAGAACATTGGAAAGTGACAGTACAACAGATTTAATATTTTATCATTTATTTTTAATACATTTTATTTATTATGCTATTACAGTCATCCCCACTTTATTCCCCTCTGCCCTACACACCCCTCCCACCCACTTCTCCCCGCTTTTGTTCATGTCCATCGGTCGAACATGTAAGTTCTTTAGCATCTACGTTTCCCATACTATTCTTAATCCCCCCTATTTTCTACCTACCATGTATGCTACTTATTCTCTGTACCTTTTCCCCCTCCCCCTCCCCATTCACCACTGATAACCGTCCATATGATCTCCATTTCTGTGATTCTGGTCTAGTTGTTTGATTAATTTGTTTTTGTTTTTGGTTTTGTTTTAGGATTGGTTGTTAATAGCTATGAGTCTGTTCTCATTTTACTGTTTACATTTTTTACCTTCTTTTAGTTAGATAAGTCCCTTTAACATTTCATATAATAAGGGCTGGGTGATGATGAACCCCTTTAACTTGACCTTATCTGGGAAGCATTTTATCTGCCCTTCCATTCTAAATGATAGCTTTCCTGGATAGAGTAATCTTGGATGTAGGTCCTTGCCTTTCATGACTTTGAATACTTCTTTCCAGCTCCTTCTTGCCTATAAGATTTCTTTCGAGAAATCAGCTGATAGTCTAATGGGAACTCCTTTGTAGGTAACTGTCTCCTGTTCTCTTGATGCTTTTAAAATTCTCTCCTTATCTTTAATCTTGGGTAATATAATTATGATGTGCTTTAGTGTGTGCTTCCTTGGGTTCAACTTCTTTGGGACTCTGAGCTTCCTGGACTTCCTGAAAGTCTATTTCCTTTGCCAGATTGGGGAAGTTCTCATTCATTATTTTTTCAACTAAGTTTTCAATTTCTTGTTTTTTGTCTTCTCCTTCTGGCACCCCTAAGATTTGGATGTTGGAATGTTTAAAGTTGTCCCAGAGGTTCCTAAGCCTCTCCTCATTTTTCTGAATTCTTGTTTCTTCATTCTGTTCTGGTTGAATGTTTCTTTCTTCCTTCTGCTCCAAACCATTGGTTTGAGTCCCAGTTTCCTTCCTGTCACTGTTGGTTCCCTGTACATTTTCCCTTATTTCACTTTTCATTACCTTCACTTTTTCCTCTATTTTATGATGATACTCAGCCAATTCTGTGAGCATCCTGATTACCAGTGCTTTGAACTCTGCATCTGATAGGTTGGCTACCTATTTATCACTCAGTTGTACTTTTTCTGGAGCCTTGATCTGTTCTTTCATTTGGGCCATTTTTTGGCCTCAGCATGCCTGTTATGTAGTAAGGGGCAGAGCCTTAGGTATTCGCCAGGGTGGGGCAACCCTTGTCCCTGTGTTGTGACGCTGTATGTGGGGGAGGGGTCCGAGAGGGAACAATGCCACTTGTTCAGCTCTCTGCAGATTTCAGTCACTTCTCCCACTACCCACAAGCAAATTGGGCCCTTCTGGTGCTGATTTTCTGGTGGGTGGGTTTGTGTACGATCTAGGACCCTGTGGGTCTTTCCAATTAACTCTCCTGTGAGGCTGGGGGTTTCTCCTGCTGCTGCCCCAACCCCCACAGGTGTTTTCAGTCAAAGGTTTGAGGCTCTATTTCCCCGAGCTGGGGCCCTGGGCTGTGTGGTCTGTCTGCTCCCTGGTTGTTCCTCTCAGTTTATCTGCGCACGCATGTGGGACTGCCGGGTTCGCCAGCTGCCACCTTGCCCTGAGTCCTCTTCACCTGGCTGCCTGTCTCCACCCCTCCTTCTGGTCCGGGTGAATGTATCTTTTTTAACTCCTTGGTTGCTGGACTTCCATACAGTTCCATTTTTCTGGCAGTTCTGGTTGGTTTTAAATTTGTTGTCATCCTTCTTTTGGTTGTGTGAGGAAGCAAAGTGTATCTACCTAGGCCTCCGTCTTGGCTGGAAGAGATTTAATATTTTAAATATTGTCACTCCTCAGATGGTGGTCTATCAGGGCTGGCATGGAGGGACAAAAGGTGAAACTGTGTCCCTCACAGTCATTCTTTGCTCCTGCTGATGACCGTAACTGCAAGGCTCCTGGTCAAGAAACACAGGAACGAGAGGTGTGGACGCTCTCTCGGGTGGATTTCTCTCTATGCCTCTCTCTCTCTCTTTTTTTTTAAGATTTTATTTATTTATTTTTAGAGAGGGAAGGGAGGGAGAAAGAGAGAGAGAGAAACATCAATGTGTGGTTGCTGGGGGCCGTGGCCTGCAACCCAGGCATGTGCCCTGACTGGGAATCGAACCTGCGACACTTTGGTTCACGCTCAATCCACTGAGCTACGCCAGCCAGGGCTTACTATGCCTCTCTCTTGATTGCACCAGATGTCTGACAGAGACACACGATGGCCACTTTCACATGATGCCTTTAACTGTTCTCCTCACTCGGATGCACAAGCCCTTTGCTATTTACCCACATTTTGCCCAATACCCTCAAGTCTGGAGCTGGCCACATCGCACAGTGGTTCATACCTCGGGCTCTGGAGTCAGCAGAGGTGGGTTTTAATTCCATCTCTGCCACGTCCTAGCTTCAAATAGCCCTGGGTAAGATACTGAATTTCTCTGGGCCTCCTTTTCTCATCTGGAAAGTGGGAACGGTAGTTATGCTTTCTTCATGAGGGTTGCTCTGGGCATGAAATGAACTAATGTGTGTGTGAAGCACAATGCCTGGCACACAATGAGGTCTAAAATGCAAATTCTATAAATATTTACTGAGTGCTGATTACATAGAGACACTGTGCTATGTACTGGAGACTTAATTTTTTTCAGTGGTGGTTACTTGTTATGTTTCCTTACAACTATGACTATTTTCTCTCTGGATTGTGCCCACCAACCAGATAGCTTGCTTCTCAAAATCTCCAGCATGCCCACCTCAAATGCAACCCTTCAGTTTTCCGACATGCACTGCCTTCTTCTTGAATTGTTTCGTGTGTGAGTATCAGGTTACACTCCAGGAGAGCACAAGCTCTCAAATGAGAAAAAATCAGAGCAGGCATATCACAGAGCAGGTGTTGGCAAACGTGGGTCATAAACACATCTCTGCTAATAGTACCTGCAGCCCCTTGGACAGATCATGGGAGGCATGCGAGTCTCGTCTGCAGATCAGTAGGGCTAGTTATGAGTGTTTCATTCCTTCTCAGTTCTAACTGACATGGTTTGCTTTGATTTACTGTTAGTGGACATAATCTAAGGCATCAGTGTGCTCTTACTAAAGCCGCCAAAATAACACATGGGTTCCAACGTGGAAGATTTGAATTAACAATGTTTTTTTGCCTCTTTATGCATGTCTGGTGATATGAGCCTTTACTGGTAGGCTACCATCTATTCAGCATTTTTCTATGGCAAGTAAAAATGAGTCTTTTCAAAAAACAAACTGACTATGTTATCTAACTATTTTATCAAATGTACACTAATTACATCATCAAAGTTTTCCACCTTTTCTGAGAAAAGAGACCGTGAAACATGGAACCAATGGGTATTTCAGAAAAGACATACAAACAGGACTCAAATGTACTCTTAAGATACGATAATATTTTGGTTTTAAACCAAACAACAAAAACAACGACATCCTATTGGCTAGGAGAATGTTTCAAATGACGGAAAGTTGCTTTATTTGAACTTTCCATGTGGATTTTTTTTTTCATCTTTAAACAGATCACTTCCCTACAGCTTTCAGTGTCACTCCCACACTCCCATGACATCTACCAACCCAGCGGCCGCAGAGGCATTAACTCTGCCCACCCTCCTGTGATAGGGGATAAACTTCGGTCCTCCAGAGCAAACACCAAGCCTATGGGGGCACCTGTGCTCCAGACGCCATGCCTCTCGGCTACTCAAAGAAAGGGCTCCAGCAAGAGCTGCCCCCACCCAGCCTTCCCCTTCTGCTAGACCAGTTCTCAGAGGCTCTTCCCGAGCCCACAGCTTCCTCCAGCCAGCACCCCATTTCTCTGCTTCCTTTCAGTATCAGCTCCTCAAACTGCTGCCTATATCCTCTTAGAGTTCGGGAGCCCCTGAGGCCCAGAAAGATGAATTTATCTACACAGTGCTTTATCTAAGCGTTAAGAGCAGAATCTGGGCATAAAATTTAGTCTCTGATGACACCAAATGACAACTCTTTTCCCATTAATAATAACAACAGAAAATCCCATTTACAAATAATATTTAGAGAGCAATTTATGGGATATTAAGTGTTTCCATGTGCATGTTCTCATCTGATTCTTATAATACCCCTGCACTGTGGGTATGCTGTTACATCTCCATCTCGTTAATGAGGAAACTGGGCCTAGGCTGTTTGGGGGTAACCTGCCAGGCAAGGGGGCCCAGCACACTGGCTGTGAACGTAGATTCTGCGGTGAGGCTCTCTGGGTGTGGAGCCTGCCTCTGCCAGCTGGTGTCTGTGTGCCTCTGAAAAGGAACTTCATCTATTTCTGCTTAGTTTCTTGTGTGTTCCTTAGTTCCTTGGGTTGTCCAGATGTTTAAATGGCTGTAAATATCAATGGGATATTTGGAACCTGTAACTGACACACAGTCAGTTCTAAGGCTGGTGTTAGCCTTATTAAGTGTCCAGTGGCAGACAGGCAGTGTACTAGTTCTGTAGACAGAAGTTCAGGGACCCACCCACTAGATAAACTGGCGCCAATGGACTCTCATCTTAGCTTGTAACTCAGATAATATGTGACAGCCAATCATCAGTATGTGAACTAAAAGGAGTGAGTGAAAATATCAGAATAGACTGGGGATCCTGGAGGATAATTGTTTAGAAAAGCAACAACTACTGAAAGTATACCAGGGGTTTTCTGATTGGACTTACCTTCTACGACTTTCCCAGCTTCGATGTAGGGAGTAAGATATAGTGGCTGCCCTTTGTCTCCCCCATCACAAGGCACAGAGCCGTGGGTGTTTCCGGACCCGAAGTAAAACAGCCCACGGCCACTAGGGCAGAGCATCAGCAGGGCCAACAAAACAGCCTCCTTCCACATGGCACCGGCCAGTCGCTCTCAACCTAGGATGAAAACAACAACAGTTCTGCAATGAATCAGAGGAGTAAATAGTTCCCTAGCCTTTCACGTGCAAGATAGTAATTGATTCACTCAAAAAAAAAATTGTGTGTAAAGGTCCTTTGCTAAGCACCTTGCATACCACCTAATTAAAACAGGCCGGATCCCTGCTCAGTCTGAAATTAACGGTCTACTGGGGGGCTGGGTTATGCAAGAGATTTACTATTTAATTGGAGAAACAATTTGTATTTCTAAAACTATGGTCTGGAAAGCAAATTCAATGGAGGATTAAAGCGTCAAGACAACAAAGGCTCTGTAATTAATCAGCAAATAAGTGGTTGTGACAGTTTACCACTACGGGAAGGCAGAGGACGGAGAACACACTTCAGGCCGAGGGAAGCTGGGAAAGCCTGGGCAAGGTCAGGGGTGACAGAAAGGCGGTGGGCCTCAGACGGGCGGGAGGAACGAGGTAGACATCGCTGGGGGGTGGGGCACCGGGAACAGCGGTGAGACCATTGCAGGGAAATTTCAAATCACCAAAATGGGTTTCTTCTTCCCTCTGCTGTCTCTTACAAAGGCAGTAACCTCTGCATCCAAGAACCAAAAGAGAGAAAAGGAAGAGAGGGAGGATTCCACAACTATCTTTCGGTCCCTGCCCCCGGCTTCAAACTTGATTAACACAAACTTCCAAGGTTCTTCAAATCTGATATTTGCTTAGAGTGTTCATCTGGGCTGATAATAATAATGGCCTAAAATTGTATGGTGATTTCCCTAACTTGTAAATAAACATGTAAATTGCATTTATGATGGGCTTCCTTTTGCATTTCTAGCTGATTCGCTCAGGAGAGTGAGGATCACTATCAGCAGTGTTAGTTAAGGGAACGTGACTCCAGAGCATGCGTCAGGCAAGACTCGAGAGTGGAGGGATCAGAACGAGAGCCCAGCCAGGGTCAGGACGAGGACATACAGGGATTCTGGGGGAAATACGGGGTCAAATCTCATCTTTTTTCTAAAATGTTGATATTGTTTTCAAAATGGGTTTTTGGGGGGGGCCTTGATTTTGATTCTTTTCAAATAGTATGTTAAAACACTATTTATCTTGGTTACTGAGCTTTTGGGGCACTGTTAAGTGTTTCACCCAAGGCGGTGCCTCTCTTGCTTCACCTAAATGCTGACCCTGCTGAGTGTTCTGATGCCCTGCATCAGTGCTGGTACAGGACTCGGCCTCACCACTCTCTAAGCATGATCCAAGTTTTCGGTTCTAAAGTCTTAGTAAGATACATGAAATAAATAAACACTCCATTCACTGAGATTACTGGATGCAAAATGAAATATGCAATTATGCAAACATCATGCCTGCTTTTGGTGCTTTAAAATGCCAAACCATTATAACATCTTAAAAACACAAAATGTGTGAAAATCGATTACCACCTGCTCATCACAACCCAATTTGGCATAATATGAAAATGCTGGTTGTAGCAAATTTAAAAAGGTTTTCGGCCACATTACTCCAATGAGATAAAAATCTGTAATTGTAATTGGATTGAATATATAATCTTTGTATAGGATTATATATTCAGCATATAAAACCCTTAATAAAGTCCTCATCCTTAACTAAAGAAGCCTAATCATATACAGTCTGTACTTATAATTTGCTTTTGCCTATTATTGACTATAATAATGAACAACATGAATTTAGAAACTGAAATTAGGTTCCCAAGAAGCCCAAGGGTAATGACCACTATGGCACTAATAAAATATTTTTAAAATTATGTGACCTTGTTGTGCTGATGTTTTAATAACAGCCACTTTCAAGGAATGCTTGAAGTCAACAATCTTACTCTGTAGCTCGCTTAGAAAAAAAAGGCTGTGGTATTAAAACATACTGGAAGAAGCTCTTCCAGTAAAAGGTTGTTTTTCCTGGGGGCAGAAATGAGACACTAATCATGCCATCCGATTTCTCAGGCTTGCTGCTGCAAACCTCCAGCCCCCTTAATGGAAGGCATTAATATTTGAACAACCAGCGTAGTTAGAGCACTTCCCCTGTAAGCAGATGTTGACTCAAAGATGTTAAAGAAAGGTGAAACTGTTCTCATTTTAAATGACATATCTAATTCATAAAAGTTACGAGTTGGGTCATTTTACTAGATCTCATTAACATTTAATCAAACAAGTGTTAAAGTCGTGGTTTCCCGTGTAGGGGAATTAAAGCAACATTTTTCATTTCCTGGTGTTCATTTAACTGTCGGAATTCCTGAACTGGGCTAAGCTGCCATCTCTCCTAATGAAATGAAAGCTGTTATCATAAATAGAGAAGCCTTTTTTCTTCACAGCCTTCTCAAATGTTTTGCTTATCATAAACTAGCCTGAATTTTTTTACTTTTTGAATGAGTACTTCTAAACTAATAAACCTTGTACCAGAAGCTATTATCCATAGAGGTGAAAGAAAAAATGATTCACCATATATTTTATCATATGTCTATTTGAAATAGTATGAAAACACTGGCACAATTTCCAGTCCAAATATATCATATTGAAGGATTCAGACAAACTGTTCCATTTAATACATGTTTAGAAACAATAAAATCCAGGAATATTGGCAGAATCAAATAAGCCAAAGGTCAAAAGTATATGACTGTCTTACTAAACATTAAATGTTACAGTTGAAAACTATATGGACAATGTACAATTTTTATATAAGCAAAGTTATTTATCACAGTGTTTTGAAGAATAAAAACAGTCAACAATGTAAAAATTTAAGATAAAAGCCCTGGCTGGTGTAGCTCAGTGGATTGAGCGCAGGCTGCAAACCAAAGTGTTGCAGGTTCGATTCCCAGTCAGGACACATGCCTGGGTTGCAGGCCATGACCCCCAGCAACCGCACATTGATGTTTCTCTGTCTCTCTCTCTATCTCCCTTCCCTCTCTAAAAATAAATAAATAAAATCTTTTTAAAAATTAAGATAAGTGAGTTCCTGTGCACCAAAAAGATAAAATCATAAATAGCGATTAATATGACTAGTGATTAATAATGCTTTGAAAAATATACTAAAATATTAGGTAGATAAAAGCAGGCTATTAAATCAGATACTGGTATTTTCTCTTCATTTAACACTTCTTAAGAACTTCTACATTTTCTACTACTAATCTTATAATCAGGAAAGAAATAGTTTTTGGTTTTGAAGGCAAAGCGTATCAGCTGATAAACATGGCCAAACAGATGCTTGTTTTTTCCCCTTCTCGCTACCGGTTATGGCCTGTTGCACTTCCCAGGAGTGACGCCCTGTTTGTTCTTTTACAGCAGGTCCTTCTTCCCCAACATCCTGATCCCCTGAAGCCCTAGGCTGACCTCAGAGACTCAGAGTGTGTTTTCTCTTCAGCAAATTAGAAGGCTCTGCATACATGTGAGATTGCTACAATAATAGTTATTATTCTTACATTTGTGTTTAATTCTGCTATAAATAGAGCCTATAGCAGATGTGCATATAATTGGTGCGAGGCAAATACTTGTGGAACGAATGGATCCAAAAAAATGAATCATGATATTTTAGACCTAGATGAGATAATACATGCTCGCATGGTCCAATTTTTCATCGTCCCAACTAGGAAACTGAAGCCAGAAAGTTAAGTAAGTGACTTGCTTAAGATTACACCACTGGTGAGCAGCAGAGCCAAGCCAGACTCACAGCCAGGACTGTCCATGGCTCGAGACCCACGAACTGCATTCCCCTCTCCCGTCTCTGGTCACAGCTGCATTTAGATAGCCTGGCTCTGACCGTCGCAACAGGTGACACAGCCTGTAAGGGTCCTAGACCCTTTCCAAGCCTGGTAGAGGATGTAGTAAAATAAATACATTTAAAAAAAGAAACACCAGTGAGTAAATCTTTCCAGAGAAATTTGGTTCTTAGAAGGAGTTCCTATCCAGGGTCAGCCATGACGGATTCAGTGGGCCGTGGGCAGGACAGTGACTCCTCTGCGTCCCGGAACTTGGCGAACCACTTGTTGGACATGGCCATTGTTGCAAATTACACCACAAAAATTTACCATTGAATAAGTTATACTGAAAAAATGTCACAAATACTCAACATTCATCACTTCCGAACTATTTCACTGCATTTTAGTATTCTCTGTGTTCTGGAGTTAAGTTTCTCTGTGTGTCCGGTGGACAGATTATCTAATGGTTTGCTGCTGCACAGTTCACTCCAACTCAGTGTTTAGTGACGTCTGTCGACAGCTCACCATCACCCACGGTGGGAATATTTACACCAGGGACCTCAGCAGACACCACAGGTCGGGGCTCCCCTGCCCCACTCCCAAAAGCCAGAAGAGGCAAAAGGGAAAGTCCCGCTGAGTTGCCATCTGTGTGTGGAAGCAGCCAGCGACACACTCAGATACGCAAGGGCCCGAGAGGAAACCTGCCACTGGGAGGCGTGTGTTCTACCGACGAAGAAGAACTGAGAACAAAAACTTCAGAATGAGGACGCGAAACCAGAGCCACCAGTTCAAGCAGCGCTTGTGTTCTCTCCATCTCTCTTTCCAACTTCTCCGTTTTGCATTACAGGCTATTCCAGTTACAGGATAAAAGTTGTTTATGTAGCCCTGGTCAGGTGGCTCGATTGGTTGGAGCACCGTCCCATACACCAAAAGGGTTCGGTTTCGACTCCCAGTCAGGATTCATGCCTAGGTTGCTGTTTCTGTCCCGGGTTGGGGTGCATACAGGAGGCAACCAATTTATGTTTCTATCTCTCTCTCTCTCTCTCTTTCTCCCTCTCTCTCTAAAATCAATAAACATATCCTCAGGTGAAGATTTTAAAAATTGTTTATGTAATAATTGTTATAGATGCAATTAAAACAGTTATTTGGGGCCCCCATACATATTTAACTGACTTAAATAGCTCTCAACATAACAAAACATTCCCCCAAGCAAACAAACAAACAAACAAAACCAGGCCAACTAACAGACATTTCCAAGAAATCTGTAATTTAAAAAGGACTCATTCATCTGT